GTGAACCTTTTGATTGATAAAGTGCGTTGCGAGAGAAATTTACTTGTACTGAAAATAATGCATGACAATGTGGTTTCTTCTTCCGTGCCTTCTTCTTCTGGTCAATTTTGCACACCACCATAAAATACGGTGTATGCTCACTATGCACATAATCATCTGCGATGTGTCATTTGACTTAACTCCAGTTAAGTTTCACATTAAATATTACTTTTTCAAATTTGAAAAAAGTTAACTAAGGTTAGGTGAAAAGACATGTGACAGATGATTAGATGTATGGTGAGCATACACCATAGTTTATGATGATGAACAAAAATGTTTTCATGAAAAAGGGACTTTAATTCTTCCTATGGCTTTTAATTGAGTTGATTTTTCCTAAAAATAAACAAGCCCATTTGATTTGAAAGTTAACTAAAATACGATTTACGAGTTGCAGAAATATTGACATTTTCATATTTAAAAACAAAGCACAATTAGTTGATAATGGAAATTTTATTTGAACTCATGTTTTGTATTTTTACACTTGAAAATTTCAATGTGAAATTGTGAATAGTCTTTTCTACTCTATTATACATTACTGTTAAGGGCTAAGATTTATTTGAAATTAATATTAAATTCATTAATATATACCTTAACCCAATTGGGGCAAAGATCGCTCAACTTTAATCCAATTAAAGCAATGGTCTCTCAACTAAAAATATGTAACTGTTGGTCCCTTAACTCATGAAAACATGCAAATATGGTCATTTTTGCCGACTCAGTCAAAACTTCTGTCAAAATGAGTTATGTTGGAAGAACCATTGCTATAATCAGGTTACAGTTGAGGGATTTCTCCAATTGTGTTAAGTTGATGGACATTTTCTCTAATTAGGTTAAAGTTGAGGGACCATTGCTATAATTTTCTCATTTATTTTCCATATTTACCCTTTGATTTAGCTACACATGCATAGCACGTGACTCATTTTGATGAAAATTCTAACGGAGTAGAAAAAAATGACCATAACTGTAGATTTTGATGCGTTAAGGGACCATTGCTACATTGGGTAACACTAGCGAGATCAAAATTTTAAACCAAATTTGCAAATCAATAATGTGTCACCAGTAGAAAATACGCACGTTAATCAATCCGATTATTAACATCCACATTATTTGATTTACAAAATTTATTTAAAAATTTAATGCTTCTAACATTATCCTTCCTCAAACGCGAGAGTGTTTGTGAAAATCAGCTCCCTTGCAACTAATGTTAATTAGTATTAACAAATCAAAATCCAACATCGTTTTGTTTGATAGTCTCCTTTCGTACGTCGTACTTCCACTCTACGTCGTTGGCTTCATCTCACCACAGCCCCTGCCTGGTGTTTTCAGACTCTCAGTCGGAATCGAATTCCATCGTCTCAGTTTTCACCGAACGCCTGATTCCGAAGAGACGGATTCCAAGGATTCGAATTCCCTGTTTTTTCGAGGTTAAAAACCCACCGCCGCCCCATTTTCCCCATTATTCCGGAATTACCCCTGCACCGTCGAAGAAGACCACGATTGCGTCCCCTTATTGAAGCCCTAACCCCGTCGAAGTATCTCCGGTACAATCCCCGATTTCGATCACAATGTAAGTACGGCGTTGTTTCGGGAATCATGAATTTTCTTGGCTGCCAAACAGAGGCGATCGTAGGATGCAGAGGTGTTTGTTTTTTAGCTGAAGTCAGTTTCTTTATGCAGGTCGCAGGAGGAGATTGCGAGGGAAGCAATAAAACACGCTCTGAAGGCTCTTCGGCGGCGGCATTTGGCGGAAGAAGGTGCTCATGCTCCAGCTTTCATCGCTCTTTCGAAGCCAATTCTTCATCAGGTAGTCTCTTAATTTCTAGCAAACTGCGATTTAGGGTTTTGATTTGGGGATTGTGTTTGAATTTGAATATTTGATCCCCGAGTTCTCAAGCAGAATAATTTTTGGTTTTCGATTGATGGAAGTGATTGATGTGATTAATATTTTGGAGAAGAATTTGATGCTTGGTTAACTTGCTGTGGCGTTTAGTTTCGGAGTTATCGGTTTCTCGTGTAGTTGGATGGATTATAGTTGTAGGCTTGTAGCTTCCTTTGGGTTTGAATTGTTTAGAACTTAGAGATCGAGTTATTTCTGATTGTCTTTGAAGGGCTCAGAATGGAAGGAGAAAGCGGAGAATCTGGAAATGGAACTTCAGCAGTGTTACAAAGCCCAATCTCGGCTGTCCGAGCAACTCGTGGTGGAAGTAGCGGAGTCCAGAACTTCAAAAGCTTCACTTCAAGAGAAAGAGGCAGCAGTGGCTAATCTTCAGAAGGAATTATCTGAACAAAGGTTGACTTTTCATTACTAGTAATGGAAAAGCAGATGCTTTTTTAGATTTCAAGGCTCTGTATGACTGATTTGAATGAGTACATGTTGCAGGGATGAATGCTCTCAATTAGCGGCTGACTTGGAAGAGAAGGTTAAAGCTTTGGAATTGGTTGTGAGTGAGAACAAGGAAATAAGAGCGCAGCTAGAAGAAATGTCTATTCGAGCTAAGAACGCTGAGGCCGAAAATAAGGTGTTAATTGACCGCTGGATGTTGGAGAAGATGAAGGATGCAGAACGCCTTAACGAGGTAGTTTATATGTTTTATAATTTAACTCCTCAGGTTGTGGTTATCTTGGATAGCTTATTCAATAGTTCTAGATGTCACTGGGTTTAAGGTATGACGCGAGACATAGCTGTGCTGTCTCAAGGCTCTTGTTGATGTTGTCTTGCTGTAGGTTGTATCCTAAGCAGAATGCTTGGCCACTCCTCAACATATGTTGATTTGCATTTATGATTTCGTTCTTACGTTGGGTGACTTTGCCAGTTTGTGCTTAATTGCATACACATAATTTCTGCCACTTTCACAAGCGTTAGGTAAATGCTAGAAAAACCTAAATCGAAACGATGCTATATATTAATTCTTGCACTTAAATATTATTTAACTTAAAACATTTAGAAAGTATATGGGATACCCAGATAAGATTGGAAATCACATTTCAGTGGTTGCAAGCACTGCCTTGTTCTCCAGTAGGATTATGAATTACTTCATTTGTTGAAAGAGATATTTCTTTTGTACATTTTCTACCTGTTTTACATACGGGTATAGGTTTTAACCCATGTTTTCTTTATTAAATTTAGGCAAATGCACTCTATGAAGATATGATTGAGCGGCTGAGGGCCAGCGGTTTGGAGAAACTTGCTAGGCAGCAAGTAGATGGTGTTGTCCGCCAAAGTGAAGAAGGTGCTGAGTACTTTTTGGAGTCAACCATTCCCTCCACATGCAAGAATAGGATGCCTGCCCATGATGGTGGCTGCGCTTCCATATTATTTGAGTACAATTCAGGGAAATTGATTACTGGTGGACAGGATGGGTCCATCAAAATGTGGGATACAAATACTGGGTCACTAACTCGTACACTCTATGGTTGCATTGGTTCTGTTCTGGATCTCACGATTACTCATGATAATAGATCTATCATTGCAGCAAGCAGCTCTAACAAATTGTATGCCTGGGATGTTAACTCGGGGAGGGTTCGACATACTCTCACTGGCCACATGGATAAAGTGTGTGCAGTAGATGTCAGCAAATTCTCAAGCCGCCATGTTGTGAGTGCAGCTTATGATCGTACCATAAAAGTTTGGGATATGCAGAAAGGTTACTGCACCAACACAATCATGTTCCCAAAAAACTGCAATGCTCTGTCATTTAGCATGGATGGACAGACCATATGTTCTGGCCATGTTGATGGAAATCTTCGTTTGTGGGATATTGAGAAAGGAAAACTCCTCAGTGAAGTAGCTGCACACTCAAATGCTGTTACATCCATATCTTTGTCCCGAAATGGCAATGTTATACTGACCAGTGGGAGAGACAATGTCCATAATTTGTTTGACATGCGGTCTCTAGAAGTCTGTGGAACATTAAGAGCCACAGGAAACAGAGTAGCGTCGAATTGGAGTAGATCCTGTATCAGTCCAGATGACAATTACGTTGCTGCTGGATCTGCTGACGGTTGTGTGTATATTTGGTCAATATCGAAAGCTGACATTGTGAGCACTATGAAGGAGCACACTGCATCGGTTCTGTGTTGTTCATGGAGCGGGCATGGAAAACCTCTGGCTTCTGCGGACAAGAACGGAATCATCTGTACTTGGACGTGACAGATTTGGCCGATTCTTTTTACTCATGTTTCCACAAGACACTTATACATAATGTACACAAGTTCGATTAAATTTGGTGTAAATATTGATTCTTCTCGAATCGTAGCATCCCTGTATTCGTCTTTATTTCTCATCCAAATATCTTGACTAAATTTTATTCGTTGTTTTGGCCATAGTTGTTTCCTTGTGTTTTATTGTTAAAGCATGTCAAATTATCATTACATTTTGGGCTCGTTTGGAAGTATATTTAAAAGGGAGATTTAACGAAAAACTCACGGTACTGTTTACTTTAACAAAAAACCATATTTTTACACTAAAAAGTCAAACCTGCTACTATTCACTTTACCCTTTATTTTGTCATCATCATTAAAACTCAAAATTTTCAAACATTTTTCATTAGTTTTCCTTATTTAAAATGATTGAAAGTGTTCATGGAGAAAATATTTTTGGGTTTCAAAAGCACTTAAAATGCTTCCTGCAAAAAGCACCAATTATGTGCTTCTTGTAGGAATGAAGCATTTTTTCATAATTCACATGCATTTTTATTAAAGATTGGTTCTAAAAATATTTTCACTAAAAACGCTTTTGGTCGTTTTGAAAGCACTTTGGATCGCAAAAGCACTCTAGTGCCTACTAGAGAAGCATCTACTTCGGGTTCTCTAGGCATTGTAGGAAGCACTTGTTCACAAGTGCTAATACTTAAAGTGATTCATGAAATGAAAGAAGTGTATAAAAAGTGCTTCTTCAAAAAGCGCTTTTACGATCCAAGAGTACTTTTCCACCCCAAGTTGTTTTGGGAAAAATGGGCCTAATAGCATTTGTCAAGGTCCAACAAAAATACTTGCAGAGCTCTCTCGCTGCTCTGTAGTTGTATAAAGCAATTTTGGGGTTCGGATTCGACCCGTTTTCGAAAACCGAAATTATTGTCAGTGGGTCTCTACTCTCTCTCTCTCTCCATCTCACCTGAAACCTAAAACGTAGATTTGGACACAGAAAAGGAGAAGGCGAAGAAGATGGTGAAGGTCGCGACCTACTTCGCTATGACTTTGGGAGCTTTCGTGTTCTGGCAGTCCATGGATAAAGTCCACGTCTGGATCGCCCTGCATCAGGACGAAAAGGTACTCGCAAATCTCTTTTCGATTGATCTTATTGGGTTGTTTTCAACCTTTGTTCAAGACTTCGATTGAATTTCAGCTCCACAATCTCACAATTTAGATGGGTTCTCATTGAATGATTCAATTGGTCCTGAAAAATCTTATCTTTTGGAAATTGGCATGAAATTTGGGGGTTAGGTTTACAGGGAATGCAATGTTTGGTTACTGGGAATTGGGGACTTAATTGAATTTGGAAAATCTCTGTGATTGTTGTTATGATGCTACATTTGTGCGATCAAAGTGACACGCCTGTGTAGAATTCAACCTTTCATAAGTTATAGTCGTTTCGTATCGTGGGGTTTCATATTTGGAGATCTTTTGTGATAAATGCAATGTAGTTGTTATACTCAATTCTTATCCTAGGGAAGCATAAATGCAATGCTTGGTTACTGGAAATTGGGGATGTAATTCGACTTGGCGTTTCATCCGTAATCATTGTTATTATGCTATATTTATGTGATCAGTCACACTGCTGTGTAGAATTAAACCTTGTTTCATAAGCTATAGTCGTTTCTTTTCCTGGGATTTCTTATTTGGAGTTCTTCTTCCATGTTGAACAGTTGGGTTGTGATTTCCTAATATGTTGCGTATTTTCATTTCTAGTTTTGTTACCTCTCTTTCGTTTGCCTGTGGTAGCTACGGGGTCCATATTACATTCCCATAATAACTAGTGAAACCGAGGAACTAGTATTTTCGTACTGAACTACATGTTTAAAGGACAGCAAGAAGCTTTTTACCAAAAACTAAAAAAAAAGGATAGCAAGAAGCTTGGTTCTGAATCTGATTCAGTCTTGGTAGTAATTGTTGGCTGCTCATAGCATGGGCATAGATGAAAGCTATTCTGTTGTGCCTACCTTTTAAATGTGCCTTTTTTAGTCAACCTTCTTCGTGTGTAAGCCATTATGTTTTGATATTGATACCGTTTCCAAGTTTGGAATGATACTGATAGGGGTCTCGTTAATGTGGCAGCAAGAAAGACTTGAAAGGGAAATGGAGATTAAGAGGGTTAGAGAAGAGCTGCTGCAGCAGCAAGCCAAACAAAGGGAGACTCAAGCATGAGCGACTCAGATTTATCTTCTTGCACCTTCATATTCCGTTGTTTCCTCTACTTCTGATTTTATCTGAGCATTGCTCTGTTGAACACAATCACAATTCTGGAATAATTTAACTTGGCATTCACAGAATAGCTAAGTTCTGTCTTATCGATGACTTTACATAAGCTTTTGAAAATCATGTTGTGTTTTTCGTTGTTTACTTACACTTTGTGGCGCAGTTAGGAATGCATTATCTGAACATTGTTCATATATACCTTCATGGATAAATCTGTCACTTGCCGAAGCATTATCGTCATCAATGATTGTAGCAACTTATATTGCATCTCTTCTGCCGACTTGGTTAACATGCGATCACCATATGCACTTCACATGTCTAACGGCATGAACTTCTCAGGCCATACTCATCGTGCGGTCATGTCATCGGGATTTTGAGCAGTTAGATTTAAAGATGAGTTGCCGTTCTGGTGGTGATGTATAGATGACATGACCTATCCAAGCAGGTCAACAAGCTATTGAGCAGTTTCCATGTAACTGATACAAGTGAATCATATAGCCAGCAAGCTTTTGGCTTCTGCGGCCAATAGCTTTTGGCTTCTGCTGCTAACAGCTTTTGGAATATTGTTCATCACAAAGATTTTTCTTTTCCCACTTAATCGACTTATATTTTCGTTTTCCTATTTGTTTACAAAAGGCACTAAAATTGAAGATGTACTTATAATTCTACTTTATCTCTTGCGACTCAAGCTCCCTGAGTTAGAGATTTTCATTCGGAAGCGTGCATAAATGTCACGTTTTCTTACAAGAAATGAGAATTGAAATTATTTTAATATTTGGTTTTTTCGCGTTTATTAAACTTGAGTGCTGAAATCATTTAAATTCTTAACTTCATTTGTTTACCTAGAGAATCGAAAAAGTGTGGATTCTACCTTAAAATTTGTAATCACATACTTAAACAAATAATAATCAGATCAACAGGAGTTAAGTTAATCTTTTTCCTTATTTCCATTTTCGATTCATGATTATTCTAGTAAACATGCTAAAAATAAGATTATATCTATATATTTTTGTTTTTTTTGTCGAATTATTGGACTAATCATGAGATTTGTAAAATATGGTTGTGGGTCACATTAGGATAAAAACCATTAAAACATTGTTACATGTCACATCGTTTGACGATTAAAATTTGAGAAATTCTTTAATCCACTTAACATTATTGAAGATTGTTTCTTATGATTTTTTTTTTTTTTTAACAAACGATAAAAGAAAATTAGTGGATATCGAACTTGCACTAGAATGCATAAGTATCATTGCTTTCTGCCATTGCAGTAAAACATAATCTGTCTGAGCAAGTTTTGTTTCCAAAAAAGGGATGCAAATCGATAAAAGGCATCCCTCATTTTTCTTGATGAGAAAAGCCTCACTCACTTTCTCTACATGTAGAAGTGAATAGTTACCAACACACTACGCAAGTGTCAGCGATGTTTCACATTCTTTTGATTGCTTCGGCCTTTAAGGAATCAAGAGCATCATGTACGAGGTTTTTCTCTGGGTTTTCAAGATCTGGAACTCATTTGGGCGTGTCAAAATTTTGAAAGAAAATTGTTCTTGACAGTTCAAAATTATCAGTATATATTATTTGAAGCGCAATCTTTCTTACGTTTCTCTTAACTATGAATTCATAATGAAATTTTTTTGCAGTGCCAATAGTTATTCCCAAAGATTCTAGTTCTATACAAAGTTGTTTCGCTAATAAAGTAAAGACTGGATGTCGCTAGACAAAACCATGATTCTCTCTCTCTCTCTCTCTCTCTCTCTCTCTCTCTCTCTCTCTCTCTCTCTCTCTCTCTCTCTCTCTCTCTCTCTCTCTCTCTCTCTCTCTCTCTCTCTCTCTCTCCATACATGGTGATGGTATAAATTGTTGGGCATGTAAATAAACCCAAATCCAAAAGCACATTGCTAACTGCTAAACAATACCTACTTTCTTGCTTCCTTTTCTATAAGTTCCATACCAAAATATGAACCCAAAACCCACTAATCCAATCCATTAATTGCTTCCACAAACGAACCAAATCCCACTTCCCACACAATCATCACCTCCCATATTTTCTCTCCATCATTAGAAGTTGTTCATCTCCACAAGGTACCCCATAACTGACTCTCTTTATTATCCTTGTTATCTTCTTCCATTTCATCACCACCATCCCTGTAATTTGTCATCCATTCTTTGATCCTCTATATAAGGCAGCGTCGGGGTCTTCGTGTTGTCATCCTGTGTCGAAACTTGAACCCCAAGCCGGTAGAAAAATGACTAAGTTTGTTTGGGTTGCGCTTGCTCTCTCGCTCGCTTTGGCGATTGGGGTTTCTGAGAGTTTTGATTACCATGAGAAGGACTTGGCCTCGGAGGAGAGCTTGTGGGACTTGTACGAGAGGTGGAGGAGCCATCACACGGTTTCCAGGAGCCTCGACGAGAAGCACAAGCGGTTCAATGTCTTTAAAGAGAATGTCAAGCATGTTCACAACACTAACAAAGGTAATAAGCCTTACAAGCTGAAGCTCAACAAGTTTGCTGACATGACCAACCATGAGTTCAGGAGTGTTTACGCTGGTTCGAAGGTTAAGCACCATAGAATGCTCCGAGGGCAGCGCGCTGACACAGGCTTTCGGTATGCAAATGTTGAAAGTGTCCCACCGTCTGTTGATTGGAGAAGGAATGGTGCTGTCACTCCCATTAAGGATCAAGGCCAATGCGGTAAGCAAAAATTTGCTATCTGTTATAACCAAGTTTTCCCTTTTTGTTTCATTCTCTTTCTACAGAATGGTATCTGTATAGATTGTTTTAACTGTATTCGTTTGTTTTGATGATATAATCCAGGAAGTTGCTGGGCGTTTTCGACAGTTGCAGCTGTTGAGGGCATCAATCAAATTAAGACAAAGAAGCTGGTTTCGTTGTCTGAGCAAGAGCTCGTCGACTGTGACACGGAACAAAACCAAGGATGCAATGGAGGGCTAATGGAACTGGCAATGGAGTTCATCAAACAAAAGGGAGGCCTGACAACCGAAACTAATTACCCTTACCGAGCAGCAGATTCAACATGTAATGTTGCAAAGGTAATTTTGTTCTTATACATTTCAGGGATATATCTTTTATCCCTTTTCTGATGCCCCTTTGCTTATGAAAGTGAAATTTTAAGGATATAACCAATACTTTTTATGCAGGAAAACGCTCCGGTTGTGTCCATTGATGGCCATGAGAGTGTGCCTGCTAATGACGAGGATGCATTGCTCAAAGCAGCTGCAAACCAACCTATTGCTGTTGCCATCGATGCTGGAGGTTCCGATTTCCAATTCTACGACGAGGTAAAGTTTCTAAAGTTTCTATTAGTAATTTCTAAGTCGAGGGATCATATCTTAATCTGCTGGTCTATGGTTTTCAGGGGGTATTTGACGGGAAATGCGGCACAGAGCTTGATCACGGAGTGGCAGTTGTTGGCTACGGAACAACACTTGATGGAACCGAGTATTGGATAGTCAAGAACTCATGGGGACCCGAGTGGGGAGAGAAGGGTTACATAAGGATGCAGCGCGGCGTCTCTGCTAAGGAGGGGATCTGTGGAATAGCTATGGAGGCTTCGTATCCCGTCAAGAACTCTTCGACAAACCCTAAAGCAGCAGTTACCTCAAATCCTAAGGATGAACTCTAAACAAAATCCAACCGTCAACTTTAACTTCTGCTGATGCTGCCTCTGTTATAAAAAAGTTGCATCCCTCATGACCTCATGGCCAAATAATGCCTCCTAGGTTTGAATTATTCATGCATTATCTAAGATCTGTAACTGGTCTGCTAAAAAGAAATAACATTGTCGATTTAATCTCCTCAAACCCGGAAACTCATACAAAAGAAGCTTTGATATATAAATGAAGAAAGTTGAGGATTCATCATAAAACCAATTGGCAATATGGGAATAGTCCAACCTCTTATGAGCTCATGCAATATCCCTCCTCCTATTAATGTGAGACTCATTCTTAACACGCCCCACACATGAGGGGAATTTTCAAGCCTAATACTTAGACAACACAATGGCAACACACCCACTTGGACAACACAATGGCAGGTCCCTCATCCCATTAATGTGAGACTGATTCTTGCCTCACACGTGTGAGAAATTTTCAAGCCTAACACACGCACCCACTTGGACAACACAACAGCAAGTCCCTCCTCCCATTAATGTGAGACTCATTCTGGAAATTTTCAAGCTTAACACTTGAACAACACAACGGCAACACGTCCCCACACATGTAGGAAATTTTCAAGCTTAACAAGTGGACAACACAATGAGGTGATGCGGAGCGAGTGTAGCCGTTTGGCTTCACACATAGGACAATCTGCTTTGATACCATGAAGAATGCTGGGATTACACCATAAAACTAATTGGCAATATAAGAAGTAGTACAACCTCTTATAAGCCCATGTAAGATCCTTCTTCTCATCAATGTAGGACCTATTCTCAACAATATATACATGACGCCAAATATACATAAGCGATATAAGTACACAAAAATCAAACCCTTAACTCTTGAATCCCAATCGATGCCACAGTGTTTCATTACTACATTTCTGGTTCGACTTCGAACCTCATTTATTTAAAATCCGCAAGATATTGACGCATCATATGTTATCGTCGGTGACTACGAGTCAGTAAGATTTTCAATCATACCGCATCCAATGCATGCAGAACTTATCAACCGTAGCATCTGATGGGATCAGTGCAACCCTTTTCGGTAGATTGTTTGTTGCCCCTGCGTCCTCCTTTTTCGAGATATTGCTGGTGGTACTCCTCTGCCCCGTAAAACTTCTTCGCCGGGAGGATCTCTGTCACCACCTCCGTATCCTTCAACTCCGCCTGCTTTGCTTCCTTTGATTCCTCGGCCAGACGAGCCTGGTTTTCACTGTAGTAGTAGATTCCGGATCGGTATTGTGTACCAACATCTCCTCCCTCATCCATAACACAAAATTTATTTAATAAATAACAATCATGAACCAATTATTTGAGAAACGTACACAAACAATACCGGTTATAAACCAAGGTATACTCTTTACCAACAGAAGAAACCAAACTCGGTATTTAGGTTGTAACGGTTAATATTTTTCAACTAAATTACAAGCTCCATGTCAAGTACTCAAGGTCATTTCAATTCTGTTTTCGATCAAAAGTTCGTAACTAATTTTATTTGCCCTCACTTACCTAATTTTTCCCCAAAAAAACACAAGCTTTGCTGAAATTTAGCAATCGCCAAGTCATTGTGGCAGTAACATAAAATAAAATAAATAATAAATAATAAATAAGGTTGTAGCAACCAATGTTCTTTTACTTTTGTTTTTATGGCCAAAGAACAAAAAGAAAAAAGAAAAGAAAATGATAAGCACAAAAGTACAACTCCATGCGTCAAAAAGTAGGAGGCGCGGGAAAAAAAAAACAATGATCAGGCCACAAAATCAACGGCCCATAAAAGTCAAAAATCAATTACCTGGCGATTGAGGGTCGTTGGATCATGACGATCCCAAAACACAGAGAGTAGATCCGTATAGGAGCAGACTTCCGGGTCAAATTGGACCCGAACCACCTCCGAGTGGTTCGTGGTTCCGGAGCAGACCAATTTGTAATTCGGATTGTCCACGTGGCCCTGGGAGTACCCGACCTCGGTCTTCACCACCCCGACCACTCGCTGGAACCTCAGCTCCGCTCCCCAGAAGCACCCCGATCCGAATTGGGCGAACTCGTGACCCTGATTTTCCGGAGCGTCCGAGTCCGGGCCCAAAGCCGGGTTGTTGACGGCGGAGTTACCGGAAGCGGCGGTCATTGTTCTCGCTGAATAATTTCCTTTTTGTGAATTTGTGGGAAAAGTGGTAGTTATGCAGCGCTGCTGAAGTCAACGGCTTACAACGACATGTCGGTTTCAAGTTCAGAATCACTTTGCTAAAAGCGTAAAACCATATATGTCATGTATCTTGTTTCTTCTGATAAAACGATATTAGTACACAAAACGAAACATGGGTGGACGTGCCGGAGTGGTTATCGGGCATGACTAGAAATCATGTGGGCTCTGCCCGCGCAGGTTCGAATCCTGCCGTCCACGTTTTTTCACTTCCAATTTCCTATTCATTAATTTTTGGGTAAATTACATAAATTTCCGTCAATTATATGTCAATTCTTTTGTTAAATGCTGATGTGGCTTTAGGTATAACCTATTTTCTATTAAAAATTTAATAAAATAATAATTTACCAAAAAAAAATCCAAACACCATCTTTCCCGACCCTCCTTCCCTGTAACCCACCCCTTTCTTCCCCCTCCCGTTTTCCCCAAACCCACTCATCCTCCACCTCCTCTGCACCCATCCTCCGCACCCCAAACACCATCTTCCCCGACCCCCATTCCCTGTAACCCAGATCACGTCTTCCCTGAACCCACCCCTTTCTTCCCCCTCCCGTCTTCCCCAAACCCACCCATCGCACCTACCCTTCCACCACTCCAGCCTCATCAACCTCCTCGGCGCCTCCCTCTCCAGGAGCTACGTCTACCTCTTTGTAACCCAAGCGCGGTTACGTGGTGCCGGAGTTTCAGGAGCAAGGCAAGGAAAACGGGGTGGGCCTAGAGAAGAGGACGAGAATGAGGATGAGGAGGTCGAGGGTCAAGTGCGGTTACGTGGTGCCGGAGTTTTAGGAGCAAGGCAAGGAAAATAGGGTGGGCCCGGAGAAGAGGACGAGAATGAGGATGAAGAGGTTGAGGGTGGGTGATGGCGAGTGCTTGCAAAGGAAGATGCAATTAGGGTTTGACGATTTGGGTTTGGGGGTTGGATAGGAGGAGGAGGATGACGTGGGTGGGAATGGTTTTGGATTTGGGTTGCAGGGAAAGGGGGTCGGGGAAGATAGTGTTTGGGTTTTTTTTTTTTTTTTGGGTAAATTATTATTTTAATAATTTTTAATAGAAAATGGGCCCCTCCTCAAGCCACGCTAGCATTTAATAGAGGAATTGACAGACAACTGACGGAAGGTATGACATTGCAACAAATTTGAAGATAAGGTATGACATTGAAACTTTTTAAAGACGAGGTATAAAACTGTTAATGACCCAATAATTGAGGTAGTTTTATGTAATTTACCCTAAAAATTTTCTCGAAAAGTTGTCATTTTTTAACACCATCAGTAAAATCGAGTTTGAAGCAACTAAGGTGGTTTTTTTTTGGTGAACAAGCAACTAAGGTTGTTTGATGATGTTTTTCTTATATAACTATATAGGTTTAGACCACTTAGTATTATGGTCTAGTGATATTCTTCTTCATTTGTAAGTGATAGCTCCTAATTCAAATTTCGTAGTTGACGAATTCGATATCAAATTAGGTTGTTCATTATGTAGTTTAATCGAATTCCTCCCCTCTTAGCGTAAAGTATATTGTTATACTAAATATAAATATAGAGAAAGGCTTATTGTTTGATTGAATGGAGAATCTGGAAATGGATTTGTTTTTGGGCTTCTCATTTCGGTGCATTTTATCAGGTAAAGTAAGATCCATGAGCGTTAGAAGCAGATCTGCCAAGAAAGGCCCAAGTAATAAATAAGATGAGCTAGTGGGGGTGCCGAATAAGAAGAACAAACTCAATTCCACATCGACCAGACCCGGCTTTTTAGAAAGCTTCTATGTGGTACCAACAAGAAGATTTGTCTGTCGCATCTAGGAGATTTGATAAAATTGGAATGATATAGAGAAGATTTGCATGAACTATGTACAAGAATGACACACATTAATTGAGAAAAGGTCCAAAATGTTTTTTGCCCCTCTAATCCAGTAGCTACCGAGGAGGATATTTCCAGTGTCCAACCCAATCCATATGCAGAAGACGATGTGATCGGAGGAGATTCATTGAATTTTTCCTCTTACAAGGACATCAAATTAGCCCCAAATGAAGCCGAACACCTTTTTGAGGTCCATATCTTCCTACTACATTTAAAGTTTTTATCCACCATTCTCCACACTGCATTTAAAGTTCTTTTTATCATTTTCCTGACATTGGAATGATAAAGAAGATTAGCATGACCACTACGTAAGTCTCTTTTTCTAATTCTCCAACATTAGGGTCTCTATGTCATGATGCTGTTAGGGTCACACTCTGATCACTAAAGTATTGAGAGGGCTTTTGAATATTTGAGAGTATCAAATTTCCAACGAGAGAGGAGAGAGCATGAGAAGATTCCTTGTTGCATAAGTGCTTACCTCAACTTTTTTGTCACCACTATTTTAGACATGGATGATGGAACCAATGATGAGATTTGTTCGGCCTGCATTCGCAGATCAAATTAACATTCCTAAACATGATTTTTATTGACCCACATGCCAATTAGAAAGTGTTTAAGCAAATGCTTAACAAAGCAAGAGTAACATAATATGTGTTTGATAATAATCATCGCGTCATTATTAGGAGCCTGTTTGATACCCTTTGGAATGGCTACAAATGTTTCTACAAAACTTTTTTTAGTGTGTTTTTTTTTTTTAAGCATTGAAACATTTTTAAGTCGTCTATTTTCTCATAAGCAAGTGATGGATTGTCCTGATAATCGGGATCTTTATCTTCAACTCACGACTTTCTAAGTTCAAATCAACCAATCTCCCTAATATAAACTAAAGTAGTAATATCGCTTTTACTATACAATAAAAAAAGTAATTTGCTTCTCCTAGTTCTCCCCAATAGTTAATAATTGTCTGTTGTGCTTCTAGTGATAAGCATGAGTATTGCTGCACGCATCTGACAAGTCTAATTGAGAAAATTGGTCTCTGTAGATTTGAAAAAGTGAGCGACATTAGGTCCGGATGGAAGAGAGAGAGC